ACTATATATTTTATCAAAATCTATTAAAAACCTATTTTTAACAAAACCAAACAGGGACTTTTCACTTGCGCAAAAAATATTTTTGTTTTTTCCCACCTTGTTGCTGGCTGTATTTTCTATGAAAAATTAAATTGAATTCTTTTAAATTTTTTTTTTCATTTTTCATTCATTTTTTTTTGTGAAAAATATCTATTTTTATTACATTATAAAATTTATATGAAAAAATTATAATTAAATTTAAATATATTGATTTTTATTTATTTTTACAAGTACATTATATTGATAATATTGAATATTAAATTTGTTGTTATCATATATACGTATAATTTTGATTATTATTTATTCAATCAATGTCTTAAATTTTTATTCTTTAAATTTTTGTTTTTATTATATGGGAAGGAGGAGAAGGAGAGGGGAAATTATGAGAACCAATACCCGTATTTGAGAATTTCACACCATTGTACTAAATCAACGTGAATTCTGTTTCATATGAAAGTCTTTTGAATTCTACAAAAGTCCATAAAAATTTTAAAATGAAAGTTCATAAAAGTCTACGAAAGATTTTTACTAATTTCATACAAATTTATAAAAGATCTACGAAATTAACAAAAATTATCACTTAAAAAATGTCCACCAAAGCTTTCAAAAGTTCCAAATGAATATAGCCCCCAAACTTAACCGAAACGGACATTCCAGAATTTATTTCTTTCTACGATTCACTTTTCCATGAAATCTTTATATACACCGCGTCAGGTGCACTGCCAGCACCACAGGTCCACAGCAGATCAATTTCATTCTGCTGACGTTATGTTTCACTTAAGTTGACAGGCGTCTTAATCTTTTTCCTTTAAAACCTAAGACAAGCCATCATATTTCGTTGGCTACCTATTTTCCAAGAAAACTCATCTTGAAATGCTCAGTTGCACAAGTTAGTAAATCTGTAAATATTTGCAGAAAACAATTTAAACTTTGAAATGCCGCGAATTAACTGTCAAGTACCCACCTGATGAACACTTTGGAAGAGAGAAAAACATAAAGGCCACCCCCCCCCCCAAAAAAAAAAAAAAAAAAGGGGATTATTGGATGGCATAAAATTGTACCTTTTTTCCATTTGGGACATTAAACAAGAGAAGCAAAATTTGATTTCCTCTATTCGATTAGCCGTTTACAAAACATCCTACGAGAAGTCTGCAAGAAAAAAAAAATCCATCTAAAATTAAACACAATATAAGGCACGATGGTACGCTGTCGATTCTACTACGGTTGAAAAAAAAATTCTCACACAAAAGAGCCTTTGATATCTATAGCAGACTAAGCCAGATGAGTATCCGCTTAACAACACTCAATTCTAGGGGAGTCAACACATGAGCCACCTTTGGTAATGTTGGATATGCCAATGTGCCAAGTATAAAGCAGTTGAAGCTCAAAAGTACAACAGCATCAGCTGCCGGTTTGTTATCAATCGTTGCGAAAAATTGGACGACACTCATCAAGGACATGGCAACAACGGTTAAAATAGCAGCAACAAGAGGCACGCAAGGGTCCTCGGCTTCCCATACAATCATCCTGACCACAAGCGACAGTATTGCACTGAAAAGGCTTCGAGTAAGAGCAACCTCCCTCTGTCTGGCCAGAATATCCCTTGTGCTTAGATATTGTGAGACGATGTGGGGCCCATAGAATTTCGATTTCAACCGTTCTTTTACAAAATCAAGAGTTTCCTCCTCACAAATTTTTTCATGCTCCATCATTCGGTCAGTGTTTCTGTTGTAACCCAATCCCTCAAATTTCTCATTTGTAGCATGACCACGGCCTCTATCACCATTATCTTTGTTGCTCCAAAGTGCTTTACCCTCAACCCCTTTCAACCGTTGATTTGCATCCTTCAAATCCGGAACCCGTTGGACCAAAGACATAGTTCGGTCTGTAAGGCAAAGGTCACACAATATTAAACCGAGAAGCAAGAAATTGAAATCGACCAAAAGTAAACTGTGCAGAAAATTAAAGAATCAACATAAGATTTCTTTCGGCCTAAACCCCGGAGGTTCGACGATCACATCTAATGCCTATATCCCCCGTTGAGCATTTAACAAGTTGGATTACACTCGGTTGCACTATAATAGCCAAAAATGGCAACGAAGGATTACAAGAGTTCAACAAATACACTGAGATGAAGCAAAGATACTTATCTCTCAAGATCGACTCAAAACCTTCGAAGAATCACGAAGAAATTTCATTACATCCCTCTGAAAACATCACAACAGAAGAGGACATAAACCTTTACAGATAATCACTCAGAATATCTAAACGAAATCACTAAGACTTTCACATTTAAGGTCTCAAATTAGAGATTTGAGCCACAGAATCAAGCAGAACAAATCCTAACCAGACAAATGGTTTTTTTCTCTCTCTCAAAGATAAAGAGTCAAAAACGCATAATGAAGTAATCAAAGTGCCAAGTGAAACGGCACGTTATAATGGAAGGTTCGAGATTCAATCCAACAGCCATAGTTCAGCCATGTGTCGCCATCCAGTTGAAAGTGCCAATTTAATAGAGTTGCATTTCCACAAAACACGACTTCACAGTATAATAAAATTCTGGAAGCAAACTACCATGGTTCGAATCTCACATTCTCCACCTTGCTACTAGAATTTTGGAACTATAGTGCAGCCAGGAGCAAATCCTTAACTCGTCATCATTTGCTCTATTTACCTGTACAAAAATTACAAAGTATCAACAGATAAAAGTTTCAAACAATTTAAAAATTTGTTTAATGGGATTACTTTTGTACCCATATCTGATGGATTAAAATGAGTAGAAACTTTATCAATCTTAATTTCACCTTTTGAGACTATATCTCTTATAAATTGAAACTTAACATCAATATGTTTTGATCTGTCATGAAACATGAGACTTTTGCTTAGGTGAATAGCACTCTGATTATCAGAAAATAGCACAGTGAAATTATCATTAAAACCCATTTCTGTCAATAAACCATTTAACCAAATCCCCTCCTTAACAACATCAGTTGCTGCTATGTATTCTGCCTCAGTAGAGGTCAGAGCTACTATTTTCTGAAGTTGAGACTT